TATATATATATTATTTATTAATGTACATTTTATGTGGCATTTGTCAATTTTTAACATATGTAATTGAATCTGTGAGGCATGAATGTTGTGTCATCCAGTGTCTAGCTCTCTGATTTTCCTTTATTTTAGAGTGTATATAGCAGACTCGCTTATTTCCAATGCTGGAGAAGGTCTCTATGCTAAAATAGCTGCTGGCCCCAATACTGTGATGTCATTTTACAATGGTGTTCGGATTACACATCAAGAGGTAGGAGCACCCTGACAAACATGACCTTCAATCAATTGATTCATTGTTCCTCTACTTACAGTGACTATATATTACATGATGCATGCTGTGTTAGCAAGGATGATAGACAAAATAGGACAAAAGTTTTCTTTTTATAGCTATTAACCCCTTCATGACTGAGGCCCTTTTTTCATTTTTTGCACCCATGTTATATTCCACATTTTAGGCCTGAAAATGATGTAAAACCCCCCAACATTATATATTTTCTGAATGCCAAGACCCTATAGAATACTGCATTTACACCTCTGTGTTTTGGTATAGTGCTGTAAATTCATTTTGCTTGCTGTGTCTTTGGTTCAGTTTCCAATAAATGCACCTTCTGTAGGCTATACATGTAAAACACAAATAAAAAAACACAATACTGCAACTGCACGCAAAAAAATCCAGTTTATATATGGGCAAACCACAAAATGAGAATACCTAATGACCAAATAATATTTTGGCTTTTAAATGGAGAAAAAAAGGATTTTTAAACAATAAATTGGGTCAGCAACCCGTTTAATGTCATTTTTGCTGGAATGCAGCATCATTGGCTTTATAGATAAAGATCCTGACCACCCACCCTCCCTGACGTCATGAAAGCACACCAGTGGCTGAGGATATTTTGTACTTTTGAATTCACTGATCTACATGATTTGTGGGGCTTATTAGCACAAACTGTTTCTAATAAGGGGTGGCAAAGCTGTGTGTTGTCAGCGGGTGTCAGAAGTGGCCAGGACACTATCTGCAAGGAGTTTGTATGTTATCTCTACTGTTATCTCTATCTCTACTCCTCCGGGTACTCCAAATTCCTCGCACACTCTAAAGACATGCTGGAAGGTTAATTGGCTCCTATCTAAATTGTATGTATACATGTGAGATAGGGACCTTAGATTGTAAGCTCCTTGAAGGCAGGGACTGATGTCAATGTGCACTGTGTAAAGCGCTGCGTAAATTGTTGGCGCTATATAAATACAGTAATGTAATAAATAAATACTCTAGGCAGTCCACCCGGGCCCGACTATAGCTTTACTTAACAGGTGTGTATGAGAGGCTCGGTCCCCCCTTTGCATACCTCCCAAGATTCTGCGGGGTCATCTGAGTATTTTAACAAAATCCCAGCATCCCCTGGATCTAGGTGTCCCGCTGCCGGCCAAGTGCTGGTAGTTCCCATATGCCTACCTTCTGCATACAGCAACTGCAAGCCCTAGGCACCGATACTGTTACACAGCAACCAAGCCAGCCATACCGCTCTGTCATCACTGCAGTGATGCACTGAAGTGCAGTGTCACTTGTGCCCGGTCAGCCCATCAATGATGTAGCCAGTGCAGAATTGCACAGCGATCCTTTAGTGTAACCTGTGGCATGTAGATTCTAACCTTATACTGGGGGGCAGACTGGGTAGGGGGTGAATATTCCCGTCCTTCCCATAGAGGCCTATGAGCAAAACCTGCCAATAAGTGACAACGCTGCTAATTTTCTGCATTCACTAGCTGCATGTACCTTTTTGGCATTTAGTGGCAGGTACAGGACGTTTCCCATCAGTTACTTCTCAGCCTCTCTTCACTTGATCATGTTTGATGTAGGAGCTGCCAAGAAGTTCATGAGAAACTTCCTGTTTTGGGGTGCTGGGATATGTGCAGCAGGTTCCAGGTTGTCACCAGTCAGTGGGTGCCCAGATGCCCTCCACTCCCATTTAAAGGAGAACTATGGGGTCAGTGTTTTTCCCCATAGTTCTCCTTAGGGTACCGGGAGGACACAAACTAGCGTCCTCCCGTTACCCTAAGCTCAGTATACCGCGAGCTACAGCTGGTAGATGCTACGACTTAGATGACGGGATCCGCCCAGCTGCGTGAGTGACAGCTGGCTCTGCCTATCTAGAGGCAGAGCCAGCTGTACCCTCCCCCGTCCGTTCCGCCAGTCAGCGCTGGCAGATCGGAGCGGGGAGAGGGGAATCCAGCCCCTCCCCTGTCACGGCAGAGAGCCGTGACAGGATCGAGAGGCGAGCGAACCCGGTATGTGTTCGCTCACCTCCCGATCTACTAAGCCGACCTGTGACAGTCTCATTGTCTCATATCCAGCACAATATAGCCACTCCCACGCTTCTCCTTGTCACGATTAGCATTGCAAACATTTTGTTTTATATATCTGGCACTCTCAATTTCTTACAAATATATATTTTTTGGCCTACCCCTGGAACACATGCACTTTTAATGGACAGGCATTGTGTTTTTATACATTTGTCTTCTTAATTAAAATGTAATATTTATTTAGGCACATACAAAATAATTTAAATGTATAAAAATACAAAATATTACTTCTGAATAGACTGACGTTTAATATTGTGCCAGGACTTGACTTTTGAAGAAATATCTAAACTGTCTGGCTTTATCATTAGGTCGATAGCAGAGATTGGTCTTTGAACGGCAATACAATTTCTTTAGATGAGGAAACTGTAATTGATGTACCAGAGCCCTTCAAAGCGACTGCTAAATATTATGCCTCCCAAGGGCACAAAGCCAACCACTCCTTCAATCCCAACTGTATGTATGACCTGTAAGTATTGTATCTGCCTTGATAGCCTTTTATCATGCACCTTGTTAAAGCTGTGTAAGACATATATATTACTTTTCCTAGCAGAATACACAAATAATGTGCAATTCTTTAGAACTTTGTGGTTTGCCACAGTAAAAATTATGGTATATTTATATATAAATAGTGCAATAGTTTTGCTTCTGTGTGATTTTCAGTGTTTACTTATTTTGCCAATAGACCAAGGGCGTACCTACAGCCGCATAGGTTGCTATGGTGTCCCGGGGCAGTGGGGGGCTCAGTCTGTATTGAAAAGGAAATGTAAAACTGCTGACTCAGGGATTTTGAAATGCAGACTTTTCCATGCATTGATTAACCACTGATCCACTCAAACCACCTTAGGTCCAGCTCACCATACCGGAGGAGCACTTCTACTTTGATACACAGCTCAGGCTCAGCATAGCAGTGATTTATAAGAAAGTAAAGTCTCTGAGCAGCTCTGTTTGCACCTAGGGACCAGTGGAATAACTACTTCAGGCTGCCTGACAACTACTCGTAAATAATTCATGTGGTAACCAGTGTTAAAGGGTGTAAATTTGACCGCTATAGGGGTGCATCATAGAATGTCTACCTCTGACCAATAATATAAAGCAGTGTAAATAGGGGTGCATTATAGTCACCCACTTCTGACCGGCAATCTTTAGGGGTGTATTTTAGGCCACTTGCCTTTTGATGGGGAGGATCATAAACATTTTGAATTTGGGCCTTGAATTAAAAAAAAAAAAAGAGGTACATTATACAATTTAGGAAACTGTTTGTATGTAGAAATTGTTTTAGTTGTTGAACTGAGTATATTCCTGTTAAAGGGCAAGTCCACCCAAAAGTAAGTGTGATGACCCAACGTAAGACAAATTAGTAATGTTCTGGATGCACTAGGGTGATGATCATTAGTTTATGTTACTGTCATCCCATTACAGAGTTGTTTCAAATTTCCCATGTTGCATATAATTTGTGTAAGAAACCAGAGATGCCAAGAATTATTAATTTAGAGAGTTTGCTTTCCTCTGATTTCTGTATATCAGGGTTTGATGAGCACCAGGGGAGAAATGACAGTCGAACTGGGAGGACCATCTGTCCTACTAAGTCCACCAGAAGGGACCCAAACGAAGACTAAACAGATACAGATTGCATGAGAGAATTAATTTCTAAAAAGTTGGTTTACAAAGTTGTTTTAGCCAAAAGGTTAAAGTAGCATTAACCACTTGAAGGCCATAGTGTTTCACCCCCTTCCTGGCCAGGCCATTTTTCAGTATTCAGCGCTGCCGTACTTTGACTGATGTTTATTCCGTCATGCAACGCTTTACTGAAACGATTTTCATACCATTTATGGGCGTTTTTTTAACTTAATGCATTATCTGCATTAGGGTAAAAACGGCCCATCACCTTTTTTCTACCCCAGTCCCCTCCACACTTACCTGTCAGCTGCGCTCGTCCCCGCCGCCGGTCCGAAGAGATCCTCCGTTTCTCCGGGTTGCGGAGGGGGGGGAGGGGGAGATACTGATGGCAGAGGAGCCATAGGCTACTTCTGCCATCAATCAAAGAGGGAAGGGGCGTGGCCTGCCACAGGGCTGTGTGTGTCTATGGACGCACACAGCCACTGCGGGCACGAGCGTGCACGGGTGCCTCCATTAGAACGGTGGTCACATCCGTGCAGGGGGGCGGGGGGAAGTGCGCTGCTGGGAGCCACTATAAAATTAGGAATTAGGAACTTTTAACGAATGAAATCAACAGCCTCCAGCGAAGGAGGGTCTCCTTAGAGGAGAAATTAAAAAAAAGTTAGGTTTTAATATCACTTTAAGTTCTATATTCCATTCTTCTAGCTGGGTGAGCAGAGGGGTATAACCCAGTTTGTTGATTTTTTTTTTTTGATTTTTTTTAAGTACTTTTTAGCTGTCACTACAATACAATAGAGTAAAGCCAAGCATTACAGTGAACATAGTAGTATTGGCTTTATTTGATTTTTATCTAAATCTGGTTCTGTTTTACATGTGCAATTGGCTCCCACTATGACTGTTTGTGCTGGGGTGGTGGAGAAAATCCAAGACTTTTTAACTAGCCAGTTAGTGTTCACACTTGGCAAGGCCCATCTAAAAGTTGACCAATTCGTGGCTAGAAAACAGTTTAAAACTCCCAAACATTTTTATATTTTCTGAAAGCAGAGGCCCCGTAAAAAAAATATTGCTAGTTGCCATTTTTTTCTGTTGCACATATGTGCGCAAATGTTTATCAAACCAATATTTATTAGGATAAAATGCACTAAAGTTAATTTTAGTGCACACAAGCAGAATATAATACCCATTCTCCAGCCACATCAGCCAGAAGTAATGGAATACACATCCCTTCCAGTTTTAGTGATCAAAGGGGAAATCAGCTACTGGAAGTGTGCTGATCTCCCTCCAATCGAGGCGCAGAGACCCACCGTGCCGATCCCGGGCCCACAAAGGGGACACTGGAGTCTGGGATAGCCAGCAGCCGAGGGGGCTATAGCTGCTCAAACCCTGCACTGCAGCAGCCAAGATCTGCGCCGTTTTACATATGTATTGCGGTCCTGAAGTGGCTAAGGAGCGTTGGCTTACTGGCTCCTGGGATTTTTCAAGCCCTGCTTTAAAGTATCAGATTATTTATATGTAAAGACTAATTTCTTTGGTTTTGTGTAGGTTTGTCCACCCAAGGTTTGGACCTATCAAGTGTATCCGAACCATTTCAGCTGTGGAGAAGGATGAAGAACTTACTGTGGCCTATGGCTACGACCACAACGCTACAGGGAATAATGGTCCTGAGGCACCGGAATGGTACCAGCAGCAGTTGAAGGCATTTCATATGTGTCAGCAGAAGTGATCAGCACCACCTTTTCTCCTTCTCTCTTTGCGTTGGGTAACTGGATCTATGCATAATGTTTCTACTGGAGTTTTCTGGACATTCAGAGGCTGCTCAACATGTTATATTTCTATCTGGTCATTAAACATTAGCATTGTGGCTGTGTCTTATGAAAAAGGAAAACTCTATTTCACAAGTAGGAACATTATTGTAATCAGGTAGGAGTTTTTTTTCACAAGCGCCAAACAAATATGTGGGAAATAAGCCAATAAGCTGATTTTCCTTTTGAGATGTATACATAGTAGACCTTTCCGTGTACACCCCTTTGTGTTGGTTACAAGGTAACTAGACTTTGATATTGTGCAATATACAAGTATAACGTTTGCTGTTCTTAGAATTGATATAACATAGCTAGAATTTTAATACAGTTTGCTCTTGTTTTACTTTAATGTGTTAGAATCGTCAGTAACATGGAATCCGTTTTAAGTTTGAGAGATGCTAAACATGTTTTGGAGCCGATTCATGTAAGTAGTAGCTGTGGCCTATACCAGCCAGTTGGATTCCATGTTTGTTTTTCCCATGTTGCTTTTCGGAGAAACACTGAATTTTTGTTATATGTGACTGTCGAGCTGCTGTTATACTACGTGTTGAGGAATGTCTAGTGAAAGCCTGGAGATCCAGTACGTATATTTGTTTTCCAGGATGTCCTCACTGGTTTGTCACATAGGTTGTAACTGAATGCTGCTGTACATGAATATAACCTCACTATGCGGTCTGTATCTGCAGTGGTTTCACATAGAGTATGTAGTCATTATTAGTGCAAGAGGCATAGCTAGCTAGCATAATCTAAGTCTTTAGTAAAACTCCAATACACAACAAGATGCTATTTCACTAAAATGGTGAGGTCTCAGGTCAGTTTTATTGCTTAATGGCGTGGTAGATGCCGAATACCGGAAATATTACTAGTAGGCATTCTAAGAGGCTATGAGGGTCTGCTAAGAAAACAGACTCAGCTGAAGATAAGACCATGGTCACCTCTTGTTTCTTCATAGACAGGAGCATAGAACTTAGGAGAATAGCCCTACTGCTTCTACCTGGTGAAGTAAACAGAGAAAATGCTAATGTTGCGGTAGCAAACGTGAACCTGTCAAGATAGGTAGTTTGTGGTTTACGTTAATGTATAATATGCAAATTGGAAAACTACAAGATGTACTATAATATTATGAAAGCAATATAGGTGGCATTATATGCTGGCATTTATTGGATAGTTATGTTTACACAAAGAAGAAGACTGGCAGATGAATTCATCTGAGGATGTCGATTTAGCATCTCTCATCCTGGCACATGACTTATTGCCATATTTTGTGGAAAGTTTTTCATATGCTGTTTATGAAGTTCCTAATTCTGATGCTTATACTAGCTATTATATAACATACAGTGGGTAAAAGGGATCTTAGCATAGCTTACTGAGGCACGTTTCCAGACCCTTCTTGTGTACCTAGCAATACTAAGAGTTAGAGATGAGACTATAGCTTAACTGGACATACCTTGTATTTTCAAGATATTTAAAATGTATTAAAGAAAGTGCAGAATCATAGAATGGCTGTAAAACTACTAATACATAATCCACATGTTACAATGGAACCTACTGCTCCTAATATTTGCAACAGAGTCCTGACTGTAACGGTATAATCCTTTGCCCAGAAAAAAACAGAAACCAGGTTTTCACATTGAAAGGGCCAGTAAACCTAAAATCTAGTTTCACCCTCTTTTCTGTCAGAGCCATATTTGCACATTCTTTTTGTTTTGCTTAAGCTTCATCCTCGGCTAAAGCACAGTGTCCAGGGAATGTCAGCTCTGAAACTGGAAGTGACAAAGAGCTATCTACATATATAACGTTGTCTAAACTGTGGAGGGACACTATTGCCCGCTTCTAGCACAACAGCTCATACATGAGAACAAAGTGTCTCCTTCATTCCGTCTTATACCTCTGGCCAGGTTAAACGGGAATTCCAACCCAAATCTATATTTTCAAGATTTTGATAGACTCGAAAACAGAACAATTGTATTGTCTCTGTTCCCATTGGAGAGAGTTTGCTTTCCTCTGAGACATGTGAGAATGAATCTTCCTGAAGTGAGGGAAATCTCACCTTTTAAGAGCTGTCACCAGAACATTTGTACCGTTAGTAGATTTACTCCTGCTTCCTGTTGGGACATAAACGGCATTAAACCATAAAATTGGCTGAAGCACAAAAATGAGCTGCCCTTTAAATTGCGTTTCTTTTTATTTGGATCACTGGAGTTAGACTTTAAAGCGGACCTTTACACTCCAAAATCAAATTCTATCAATGAATCCCTCCTATGTATGATGATTAATAATAACATAGACAGGTCAGGTGTAAAATGCTGTGATTATGAAGTACTTACACATGCAGAGCATTCACTTCCTTGGTTTGAAAGGTGCAAAACGACTTCAGTTTGCCAAAGCAATGCACACTGGGATTGTTTTGTCATCAGTAGTGCATTGCTGGAAAATCTCGTCCGTAATCTCATGAGATCTCAGGGAAAGGCATTTTCCTCCCCTGAGATGATGTGCATAGTCACATGTCCTCGTCACATCTCTAGTCACATGTGCCAGAAATCCAGGAAGTAAAAGGAGAGTCAGTTAACATGGCCATTGTCAGAAGACTGGCTGGGGAAGAAAAGAGAAATAAGATATGCAAAGAATACAAAGCCGGCAATTATCTAGACGTATGTGTGTGTAGAATGTCATTACTAAACATTTCTAAAGGTGTGTTTGTTGTTATTTTAAAGATATAGGTAAAGGTCTGCTTTTAATGTGTGTTTTTTTTGTGTGTTTTTAGGTTCACTGGTCCTTAAAAAACCAGAGTGCACTGTTTACTTTAGTGAAAATAGCATCTTTACACTGGATAACCATTTTACTGCCTTCTGTAAAATGTTTCAATTAACCCGTTTACAGTTTTTAGAAGCCTTCATGCCGACATATAGTCATCTCGTGTTCATATACGTTCTATATTCATTGAGTTATGAAAAGGCCAGGGATTCGTGCTTTCTCCAAACATAAGGAATGTGCTGTTTACACATCAGCCTCATACTGTTTACAGATGCTAATTTGTGGTTCACACTCTCAGGTCAGAATACACCAACAGTTGTCTTCTTACAATATTGTGGCTTTAAGCTCTGTACTGTAAGAGAATCTGCCGCGAGCTTGCAAGTGCGCAGGGAGGGACGCATAGCAAACGTTTGCATTATAAGCAGGTTTACACAGCTCTTAAAGCACTATTACATGCTGGGATTCATATACCATTTTTTACAATTCAGCAAATATGGTTGTTTCATTTTAAGTATGTTTGCTTTTCTTCATAGTTTATATATACAGGTGATTTTGCAGCTTCCAAAATGTTTTTTAGGGGAAAATTGGGGGAGGAAAGAGGGGGTTATATCTTGAGGACCCAGTCACTTTTATAGAATCCAGCCCATGAAAGACTATAGAAAGACTGTATAAAATGAGGTCAGTCATGAAATGTGAGGTATAGAGCTGCTCAGAGATTTTTCAGTTTTGGGTGATTGGTGGATAATTGGGTCGAATCGCTGTCTTGGCTTTTTACGTCTGTTTGAATTTCCAGTGCTAAGTTTTCACACAGCAGGTTTGTATTTTTGCCCTCTCCTACAAAGCTATAATGTAGGTGTCTATAAATGGAGCTAGAATTCGTTTATATACCTCATGCCGATATCAGTGGGGGAATTATGGAGCATGATTTGGCTTTGTAGTGGTCAGAGACTTTGGAAGGAAATGGGAATACTGGTGAGCAGATCTCACCACGAGTGTTTTTAAGACCTCCAGCAATGAAATTACTTTTTGACACGCCTTCCACATATACTTAAAGTAAACCTTTTAAGAGAGACATGGAGACTGCCTCTTCTGACTTTTTTTTTTCTGAAAATGTAAATTGTCTGGTAGTTGTTGTGAATCTGGCCTGGAGCAAGTCAGAAACGTATTTGTTCATGATGAGAAAATCATTGAGAAAAGTATTGAAGGAAGATAGTCCTCATGAAAGCCAATATCATCTAAAGAGTAAAAAGCCTGTAATGGCAACTTGTCCTAAAACTTTTCTTTTAAATGGCTGTGCAATGTTTACATACACCAAGGGTACCTAGATGCATTTAATTACCTTCAATCAGTACATTGCAGACTAGGAAACACAAGCTGTCTGTCTACAGAATATCACTGAATTCAGCAGTTCACTTCAAAATATCCTCGGCAGATACATTATTGGCACACTTACGTTGGATTTATCATTCTTCTTGTAGCGAAGGTTTTCACCACAGCTCATTCTGTCCATAATACCAATGCATATCTGAGGATTATTATCGTCTCTTAGTTAGATTATTTCTCTGTATCTGTACATTGGAACATGTTCGTTTTAAACCCAACTCCAGCTTAACCTAAAAAAATACTAATTGCTGATAAAATAAAAGGAGCTGTAATACTCGCCTCCCCTCTGACACTGTCCCCAACTCTGAATTAGCAGAGGTCCTCTTTCAGGTTGAATGAAGCCCAGCACCATTCAGTTGGACTTAAATTCAGCTGTTTTTCCACCAGAGCCATTTCATATCATTCAGCTGTGGGCCTAATCTGCTGCAAAAGTCATCCTGTGTCTATACTCTTTATTTGTATGAAATCTGGCCCAATACATATGAGCACTCATACGAGCTCAGGTTTTTTTATTCTACTTATCTGATTGGACTGTAGAGACTGTCCATAATGTCTTTTCAGGCAATGGCTTACCCAGGTGGGCCATCCTGTCTTGAGTAGTAAACTGGCATTTTTTACACAAGCATTGATGATATCAAGTCTAACTTGCTTGCGTGTTTACAGATGCTTCAGGGATACTATCGTCTATCGGATTTTATGTCCTTAATTAGGACTAGTGTTCTTATGGATAGTATATTTTTCCTGCAAAAAGGAATAAAGTTTAAAACTTTTATTTTCATCCTCCCATGTGTTCTACTTACCGTGGGAAGCCCTATAATTGCAGCTTCTCTGGTTTGCACCTAATTGGACCTAATGCAGGTCAGAGA